ATCCTACTTCTATTATGTTACTTGGTAACATAATACACGACAAGAGTGGACGCGTTCTATTGAATTTATACTGGCGATGAGTCACTATAACGTGGCTAAAGTATGTTGACCAGACCACACACTAGAAGGTGAAGGGACGACGACGTTTCGGTCCGTCCTGGACCATTCTCAAGTCGATTGTGATCAGGAAGATTGATTGAATGACGAAGATTAAGCCACCCAAAAGATGGCACGGGCATGAATAGCCCGTAAGTGAAGGCATTTCTGAGCCATTACCAGTATCAATAGATGATACTGGAGATCTGTGGAGGTGCGACTGCACCCTGCGTGATGGGAGATGTCTCTCGTGGTGATAAGAAAGTAGAGACAGGCAATAAATATGAAAGAGAGAGAGAGGCGAGGAGCAAAGTAAGGTGTAGTAGAGGGGATAGTAGTAGGAATAAGAATTGCAGAGGGCCTATTGGCCCATACGAGGCAGCTGCTATTGTAACCACCGAATGAGAAGGAGATAGTAATAGGAATAAGAAGAGGATAGCAAGGGAATGTAGGAGAAGACAATGAACAGAAAAAGAGAGAAGAGAGAAAGAAAGGTAAATGGAAGGGTAAGCTTATGTTAGGTCACGTTTGTTAGAAAGATTAGAGCATTTGAGTATATACTGTGAAAGGGAAGAGTCCACAGCAACAAAGCCACGACTCAAATTCATGTTGGGTAGATTGTGTATTAGACGGCGATTAGATTCAACAAGACGGCATCTATGTAGAAGTAGAGGCAGGAAAGATTATTTTGGAGGAAGACCAATCAATGGGATGATTAGAACCCCTCCCATGACAGAAGAGAGCATTGTTAGTGTCTGCAGACTTAACACTTCTCTTGTGTTCTTAAAGTCTGTCATTCAGTGTATGGCCAGTTTCGCCAAAGTATTGGAGAGGACAAGACAAACAGGAGATAGAGTAGACACCAGCAGCATTAGAAGCAGGAGGAGCAGTGTGAACTAGATTGCTACGAAGTGTGTTAGTTAGTCTGCTCTTTGGCAGGCTCAACGGTGCGCTTTTGCCTGCTCTGGGGAACGACGCCAGCCACTGCCCCCCGAATGCAAGTATGGCAGGAAGAGCTGAAAGCAGGAGGCAAACCGGGAGTCCCCCTAATATCCCCTAGTGAATTTATATCCATTCTATCGTACGGTGACCAAAACCGAAATGCATAATCTAAATGGGGCCTAACATGAGCAAGATATAACTGAAGAACAACACCAGGTGTCTTATTAGTAACGCTTCGATTAATAAATCCCAGTGTCCTATTATATTATTGCCTTGTTATAAATCACAGTGTTCTATTTACCTTATTATGGAATAGAGGTAGTATTATTTTCCGCTTTTGTAGGTTAGTTCTTCAAATGATATATATAAAGACTTAAGAATTAGATGACTGTGACATATTAGGTGTACAGTTGCTTCCTGGCAAGTCAGGTGTTACTCGTTCCCGGGTGCAATATAAGCTTCCCTCACCAAATTTCTTTCAGACAGTGCATAACTTTCGAAGAGTGCAGCTGATACACCAGACGTATTTTACTGGCATCGAGTTTAAAATCTCACGTTATTGTCAACAGAATGGAACCTGATGTTATTAGAACGCCAGAAGAATTCATCAATGTGATATATGAAGATTTTAGAAAGGATTCTGCAGAAAATTCAACAAGAATCATGAAATTTACTGCCCCTTGTCCACTCAAAAACGGTGTTGTTTTTGAGAATATTAATCCTGATTTAAAATGGGGAACTTCAACTAGTAGCAGTCAAGTTTTATGCCTCGATAATGATGATGCAGACTTTTATACTTCCAAAAGTATTTTCGGGAAGACCTTAGACTGTGTATCAAACGAAATCAGTGATAACACGCTCAGTTTGAGATCCAGTGCCAGACATGCGCCGCTTGCCAGTTGTAACGAAAATCGCGTTCAACGCCACATCTATATGCCAGATGAGATGAAAACGCCAGAACACATATTTGAGGACATTTCTGATTATTATTGCAAGCATTCTACAGAAAATTCAACTAGTAAAACTAATGCACCATTTTCTGACAATATTAATGAAGATGAAGATTATCATAATATATACAAACGTTTTTTTGGTGAAACCTACGAAGAAGAAGAACAACAACTACTGAGTGTATCTAACACTGATGTCATTGGTTGTGTTCAACGCAATATTTCAATGCCGGATGAGATCAAACCACCAGCGCACATCACTGAAGACGTGTCTGATTATTTTTGTAAGGATTCTACAGACGAGTCAACAAGTAACATTAAAACTACAGTTCCTGTTTATGAGAATATTAGGGAAGACGAAGACTTTCATAATACTCCAGAGAGAATTTTCGGCGAGACCTTCGAAGAAGAACAACTATTAAATGCATCTAACACTGATGTCATTGGTTGTGTTCAACGCCACAATTCTGTGGCGGATAACTCTCCGCAGCAACCTTCAGCCGACTGCAGTGTACAATATTTCGTTGTAAAGAAGGAGACAGGCGACGAAAGATCCCTGATATTCACTTTCTTCAAGAAGAAGCCAGTCGACATGCTACACGATAACTTCTCAGTCAGTGAGCATGCACAACCTGAAATCCAACCACAGGAAACCAAGTCCAGTGACAATCTACCTGCAGATTTCACTGACGTTCATGGTAACTTCACTGCCGCCTCCATCACCCAATGGAATGAAGCTCCTGTTAAGGTACAGGCTGCCAGGCGGCGTATATCAAGGGGTGCTCAGAAGCCTTACCAATGTCCTCACTGTTCCAAGTCTTATGTCTCAATGAAATGGATTAATCGGCACATTTCTAACGTACACAAGAGTCCGTACCAGGTGGGGAGGCGCCAATCAATCGAATCAGCTTAAGTTCCAGGTTTACAAACGATTTTCTAAGGAATCTGAGCATGTTGTTACATATATAAGTAAAATAAAATGGCTTCCTGTTCACCAAATAGACACAGTTATTAGTAACTAAGAACTCAATTTTAAAAGTTTATATTTTATGAAATTATAATAAAAAAATACCCGCAAAACTGACATTAAATATCCCTTTTTCTTTGTAAACTTGAATTTTATTGTGAAAAATGACAAATGCTTGTTGGTTACTGTGGCCATCAACGGAAGTGCATGATTACGATTCCCTGAATTGCTGCGCTGATGGCCGAGACGGCACTGAGAAGTATTGAGTGAAACTGTTGTTTTGTATGAACTTTGCTTGACTAGTTTCATTGTCGAACACTCCTTATCTTTTGTCTGTCTGTTTAACCTTTCATTTTATGTTATTATAATTATGTAAATATTTTTTATATTATAGCACCTTTCGCAAATTATAATCCTTGGTTGCAGACGAGGAGTCACAATCACGTGGCTGAAATATGTCGACCAAACCACACACTAGAATGTGAAGGGACGACGACGTTTCGCTCCGTCCAGGACCGTTCTGGACTTGAGAATGATCCAGGACAGACCGAAAAGTCATCGTCCCTTCACTTTCTAGTGTGTTGTTTGGTCAACATGATCCTTGGTTGTTTTACTAGTCGGGTCTGTCATCACTAAACAATAATATAAAATCTTAACTGAAGTAGCATTGTATCTTGTAAATATTTCCTGAATCTTCTATCATACACACATACGTGCAAGACATGCACATACAGTTGTTGGTCGTGAACATACATACAACCTGTTATTAATGGTTTGTGATTATGGTGATAAGTATCTGGCAAATTATAGATAATATGGTTAGCTACATTCTAAACAGACCAAAACTTTTTAAAATTACAAGCCACGTAGGTAAATATTTATGCCTAATGATAATTATTATTAATTCATTATGGCTGATAATTATTTATTGCGTACGCTGTTAAAATCTCTCTACAAATTTTAATAATACCCTTGAAAACATATTAAATCACGAGACAATTTCTACTCTGATCCAACCAAACTCGTTTATATGTATGTCTGACTCATAATACTTGAAATAATACAACGATCCCACATCTATGATGCTCCTTGGTAATTTGTCCAGTAAATAAACAACCTTGTTTTCAAACACTTATTTGCCCGAGACTTTTCTAAATTACAACTTATCCAATTTATATCAATTGTTTCGAGTTCTGTTTGAGTTGATATAAATATAATCTTATTTAAAACCACTTTGTTATACCTTCCGTCAATTAAAATGAAATAAACATGTCATTCTTAATTTTATTTCCAGAAAATGTTAAGCTCATTTATGATCCCTCCATAAGAAAGGTTACTAATAAGCGGGACTAATAACTGGAAACCTCTTATAGGACGAAAGATTGACAAAGTTTACTCTACATTCTCTAGAATGGCGAATAAGGAAATAATAGAGGTGTATATTCACAGGGAGGAGCCGGTCGGCCGAGCGGACAGCACGCGGGATTTGTGATCCTGTGGTCCTGGGTTCGATCCCAGGCGCCGGCGAGAAACAATGGGCAGAGTTTCTTTCACCCTATGCCCCTGTTACCTAGCAGTAAAATAGGTACATGTGTATACCTCTCACTGTATTTCCCACTTCTAAACTTCCCTTCACCTATGCCTCTCCATCTTCTTTACTCCCCCCCCCCCACCACCAAATAAAAAAAAATAGGCAGCTTATTAGGGGGAGGGCTTGTATCCTTGGCGGGGTCAGTAATTCGACCTTGGGGAGGGAAGTGACCTCGATAAAAAGCCTAACGTGTATGAATACACTCTGGCTTCCTGTCCCCTGACAAAATTAATTCTAAGTAGCCTCGTTACCCCTGCATTGGGGTCTCTCGAAGCGGGTAATTATATTTCTCGACAACTTAATAACAATTGTGGTAACACACACTGATATAATTGTTATACCATCTAAGACATTAGTATATATATATATATATTGTTTACGTTTAAGGGATGTGATAAGGCGTGTTATTAAGGGTAAATAACAGGGACGTTACCTGGAGATTAATGTGTTGTGCCGGCGGGGCGCGAGACGCTTGTGACGTCACATCCAGCCTGAAAATGGCGGCCGGTCGCTTGTTGTGTTGACCCCGAGAACACCAGGTGAGTCCTGCTCCCCTGGGCACTGAGGGGCATCTAGGGGCACCCAGAGGCACCCAGAGGTACTGGGGCGAGGCACAGGTGTGGAGGGGAGCCGAGGGGGAGGGCTGGGCAGGTGGACGTGCCACCACCTCTAGCTGGCCGGGACGCCACCCACTGTGGTGGGCCTGCCACCTGCACCCACTGTGGTGGGCCTGCCACCTGCACCCACTGTGGTGGACCTGCCACCTGCACCCACTGTGGTGGACCTGCCACCTGCACCCACTGTGGTGGACCTGCCACCTGGTGGACCTGCCACCTGCACCCACTGTGGTGGACTTGGCACCCACCTGACCTGCCACCTGCACCCACTGTGGTGGACCTGCCACCTGCACCCACTGTGGTGGACCTGCCACCTGCACCCACTGTGGTGGACCTGCCACCTGCACCCACTGTGGTGGACCTGCCACCTGCACCCACTGTGGTGGACCTGCCACCTGCACCCACAGTGGTGGACCTGCCACCTGCACCCACTGTGGTGGACCTGCCACCTGCACCCACTGTGGTGGACCTGCCACCTGCACCCACTGTGGTGGACCTGCCACCTGCACCCACTGTGGTGGACCTGCCACCTGCACCCACTGTGGTGGACCTGCCACCTGCACCCACTGTGGTGGGACCTGCCACCTGCACCCACTGTGGTGACCTGCCACCTGCACCCACTGTGGTGGACCTGCCACCTGCACCCACTGTGGTGGGCCTGCCACCTGCCACCTGCACCCACTGTGGTGGACCTGCCACCTGCACCCACAGTGGTGGACCTGCCACCTGCACCCACACCTGCACCCCACTGTGGTGGACCTGCCACCTGCACCCACTGTGGTGGACCTGCCACCTGCACCCACTGTGGTGGACCTGCCACCTGCACCCACTGTGGTGGACCTGCCACCTGCACCCACTGTGGTGGGCCTGCCACCTGCACCCACTGTGGTGGGCCTGCCACCTGCACCCACTGTGGTGGACCTGCCACCTGCACCCACAGTGGTGGACCTGCCACCTGCACCCACTGTGGTGGACCTGCCACCTGCACCCACTGTGGTGGACCTGCCACCTGCACCCACTGTGGTGGACCTGCCACCTGCACCCACTGTGGTGGACCTGCCACCTGCACCCACTGTGGTGGGCCTGCCACCTGCACCCACTGTGGTGGGCCTGCCACCTGCACCCACTGTGGTGGACCTGCCACCTGCACCCACAGTGGTGGACCTGCCACCTGCACCCACTGTGGTGGACCTGCCACCTGCACCCACTGTGGTGGACCTGCCACCTGCACCCACTGTGGTGGACCTGCCACCTGCACCCACTGTGGTGGACCTGCCACCTGCACCCACTGTGGTGGGCCTGCCACCTGCACCACCTTACCTTGAGGTGCTTCTGGGGCTTGGCAACCAGGCTGGTGGATGTGGCTGCTCGCAGCCTGAGGGATGAGTCACAGCCTGGTTGATCAGGTATCCTTTGGCGTTGCTTATCCAGTTCTCTCTTGAACACTTCTTGTTGACAGTAGGTGCAGGTGGCATGAAGGGTTTGTCCTCCCGATGACTGCACCAGTACACGTGTTGGTAGAGGCGTGCATGTTGAGGATAAGAGTTCCAAAGGTGCTTGTTGCGTTGTGGTGTAGACAGAGGAGCGGCGACTACAACAGAGGTGTGCGTTAGAGGGAGACTTGCCGCACTGTAGGGCGGTGTGTTGTGTTTATGGCGTCAGCTGATCCTTGGTACTGCGACGAGGCAGTTGTTGTCTGCGTTCAGCTGTTGGTGGCGCCAGGTATAAATGTGGCGCGGGTCAGATGTGACGCAGTTTGTTGGTCGACTGTAGATGTTTAGTCAGTGCTTTGACTATTTGGTATTTTTCTTGTAACGAGTGGTCACCGCCTCCTAATATATGCTCAATGGTAAAGGGTATTTTAAGTGATATAAGTACTTGTTTGAGATTTACTCTGGCACTATAATGTCGGAAGCAGTGCAGGTGAGAGTGTTCGATTGTTTCAGGCACCTGACAGTGGATGCAGAGTTCGTTGATGTCTGTTCTGTACTTAGAGCTGTGTGCTGCTAGTTTGGTGTGTCCCAGCCTTAATCTGGTCATCGCTATATCAATTTCTCTGCTTTTATATCTGACATGTTTCCAAGTTTCCCATTTCTTTTTAATGGACCCATAGTATAAGGGTGAGCATGACGTTTTCCATTTCGTCACAAAATTTTGGGTGATGGTATTTTTGAAGGCTCCTTTACGTGCAACATGGGGAATTGGATGACGGGTAATGCGAGGTGTGTTGTGCATCGCTTTGGCTAGTTGATCTACTAGTTCATTATGGAGAATACCACAATGTGCTGGCACCCATTGGATAGAGGTATCATAGCTGTTCAATCGATGTTCATGAAGAAGTTGAAGACATGAGTAAACAAACTCCTTGCACGTTGTTGAAGAGTACGTAATTGCTTGAATCACACTCTTGGAGTCACTGCAGATTGTATATGTCCCGATTGGTAATGTTGTGATTATTTGGAGAGCTTGATATAAGGCATATAATTCAGCTGTGAAAACAGATAGTTGGTTTGGTATTTGGTAACCGCCATCCCTGCTTGAGATGGTATTCCGGTATCCATACAGCGCTAGTGACCGAGGGTACGTTGTTCATGGTGATGCGAGATCCATCTGTATAAATTGCTGTGGTATTTGGGTAGCAATTTTTCATTGTTGAGGTAAAGACTGAGGTTATGGCTGAGTTTGGTGCAGACTTTGGAATGTTGTCTTCGAGTTGTATTGCTGTATTAGGAGTTGTATAAAGCCAGGGTGGAATTGGGGGAACAGTAAGTTGGGTTTCCGAGTTTTGGAGTAGAGAGAGGTCTATATCGAGGTTATTTGTAGCCCGTGTGAGGAAAGGTTGTGAGTGACTGGTTGGGAAGCGGGGGATATGAGAGTTAACTGTTGGGTTAATTTTTTATCTGTATGGGTGTGTCTGGTGAGCAGTGGTACAGTGACAGATAGTTGGCACACATTATGTCTCGTCTGATGGCTAGGCTTGTGAGGCCCATTTCCCCGTAGAGTCCAAGGATAGGAGTGGAACGCATTGCGCCACATATGTCACATGGCATTGTTTTGGATGACCTCTAGGCTCTGTAGGTTAGTAGGCGCAGCCGACGCATATGCTTGGCAACAATAGTCTAGTTGACTGCGAATGTAGGTTGTATAGAAATGGAGCAGGATTTTATGGTGTGCTCCCCAGGTGGTGCCAGTGAGGGCTTTCAGTATGGCGAGTTGGGGTTGTGTCGTCTGTTTAAGGTGTTGAATGTTTGCTTTCCAGGTAAGTGAGGGCGAGTCTAAGTGCATGCCAAGGTATTTATGTTCTCGTACGTGTTGGATGGGAGTGTTGTGTATTGTGAGGGTGGGTAGATGAGCAAGTCTTTTTTTTTTTTAGTGAAAATTTGATAATAGGTTTTGATAGTACTAACTTGAAGGCCCCATTGTTGTGTCCAATCTATGAGGTGGTCAAGTGCTGTTTGCATTGTTGAGACTGTATTAGGTAAGGCATTGTCTGAATAACATTGTTAAGTCGTCAGCGTACGCCGAGAGGTTAACAGGATGGGTGTTAGGCAAATCTGCTAAGAATGCAGCAAAAAGGGTTGGGCTTAGTATGGAGCCTTGAGGGACACCCGCACTCGCCTTGTATATAGACTTTAGAGGTCCTGTTCGTAAGATAGGATTTTAACCAAAAAAGTAATCTTCCCTGTACGCCTAAACGCGCAAGCTTTGCGAGGAGGCAAGTATGAGGAATGCTATCAAAAGCTCCTTTGAGGTCAGGTTATCTTGTCTAAGTAAAGAACAATACAAAATTTGCTGCTTCTGAGGGAGGTGTGGATTTCATGTTCAAGGCAGAGTATTTGATCGAGTGTGGAGCGTTGTGGTCGAAATCCCTCTCTTGAACACTGAGGGGTCGCCAGTTATGCCCCTTATGTGTAGTGGAAGCGTGTTGAACAGTCTCGGGCCTCTGATGTTGATAAAGTTCTCTCTCAGAGTACCTGTTGCACCTCTGCTCTTCAAAGAGGGTATTCTGCACATCCTTCCATGCCCTCTGGTCTCATGTGGTGGTATTTCTGTGTGCAGGTTTGGGACCAGCCCCCTCTATTGTTTTCCATGTGTAAATTATTATGTATCTCTCCCGCCTGCACTCAAGGGAATACAGATTTAGGCTCTTTAGTCGATCCCAGTAGTTTAGATGTTTTACTGAGTGGATTCTAGCAGTAAAGGATCTCTGTACGCTCTCCAAGTCTGTAATTTCTCCAGCTTTGAAAAGGGCCGTCATTGTGCAGCAGTATTCCACTCTAGAGAGCACTAGTGTTTTGAAAAGTATCATCATCGGTATAACATCTCTAGTGTGAAAAGTTCTTGTCATTTTTCTTGTAGTTGTGACGGCTACTTTATTGTGTTCTTTAAAGGTAAGGTCTTCCGACATCAGTACACCCAAATCCTTTACATAGCCTTTTCGTTCTGTTATATGATTTGACTGAGTTTTGTACGTGGTTTCCCTTTTTATATTTTAATTTTTTCAGTAGCGCATGAGCTGGAACTTATCTTCGTTAAACACCATATTATTTTCTGGTGCCCATAGAAAGACCTGATTTACGTCTGATTGGAGGTTTGCTGTGTCCTCTATGTTGTCTACTCTCATGAAAATCCTAGTGTCATCTGCAAAGATTGATATTGCTATAGATTGTGTCCTTTTCTATGTCCTATATGAGGATGAGAAAAAGTGAAGAATGTGAAGGGCCTGCGATAGTGTTTTTTTTACAGTTTTTGATGAATATGGAGTTCCAAGAATCAGGGCCTGGTGCAGAGTGCATAGGCATACTCTTTATGGCTTCTTCAAAATCCAGTGGGGATAGGGTGACATCTGATATATGATTTGATGTTGGTATCATATCCATGAAAAATTCATTTGGGTTATCAATCTTTAGTGTATTTAGTGG